ATGAGACATCTATACACACGTGTGTGTGTGTGTGTGTGTGTGTGTGTGTGTGTGTGTGTGTGTGTGTGTGTATCTACACACACACGCACAGAAAATACCTGTACTGCTTTCGTTCTAAACACGCGTGGGATTAGCATCCATAAAATTCCCAATTTCCCATAAAGCTTTGAGAGTGATGATGAAATTAATATGCATGATTCCACGCACAAGAAACGGAACATGAGCAGCACCTCAAGTTACGTTTGAGAAGCGGCTTTCCGAAGTTGGGGCAAATGGTTTACCCTCTCAAAACAGCGAGGAATTTCACAAGTCATCACCGGGAGATTTTGGCATGGAGGCGCTGACAAACTAACTGGAAACTCCCTCAAACAACTTATCTGTATTAAACTCGACTGGTGGATATCGAGCGGGGGAAAAAAATCAATCTACTTCTTCGCGGCGTCGGAAACGTTAGAAAGTCATCGTATTCATTCCACTCTTTTAGTACACGGTTCAAGACAGCACACGCTTTAGCGACGCACGGCGTAAAATAGAAATATATATACTGTATATATCCATACTGCACACTAAAATTGTCGTTGTAAGAAAGTGGAAAGAAAACTTACAAATGGGATTGTGTTCATTCTTCGGTGAATATATTATAGTCCAGGAGACACGAACCGGCCACACGTTCCTACTCTGAAAAGTTGTTCACTGACAAGGAAAAAATTCGCAGGTGGGACTCAATTGCCTCATCTTCAATACGTCACGCAAAATGGGCGGGGAGAAATAACTGTCCAGCACGTGAAGACTGGATAGATACCACCAAGGGGAGGGGCGTGGGGTTTAAAGTGAATAAATATGGTATTGTACCCCAAATAAAAATAATTTCTGTCCCCCCCCCAATCCCATAAATAATATATTTTTTAAAAACCATAAAAGACAGACATATTTTTTAAATATTCTGTTGCACTTTTGTTTGATTTCAGTTCACTGTCCATACCTACCGAATGAAGTGCCAATTTAGTGGAAAAAATAAAGTTGTACACCATTTATGAAATTTCTGTTGAAGGAGCCATCCTTCAACAGAAATTCATGATAACGCATTTTAATCAGCACTACATAAGCAATTGATAAAAATGGAACAAAAGAGCATTTTACATAATTATTTGCATGGATGAAATGTACCAAAGCGACTGAGCAAAACTGTCATAAAAATTCCAAACACAGGTGTATGTACACTGCCCTGAGAAAAATATTTGAACAATGATGCCAATTCCTTCCTTTTTGGTGAACTGCAAATTTGAGACGATGACATCAAAAGAATAGCATGACATATACTTTCATGTATATTTGGATCTGATACACAACTTAAAAGGTACTGTCAATCTCACCCGGTGCCTTTAAAACATCCACATTTCGCCCCCCAAAAAGGTGCGATTTCCATGAAAATTCATATTTATTGTATTAAGTAGATGTTATGGTGTCAGATATGCACATTGGTAAATATCATACTTATTTATTTGTTTCATATTTTTTACAAATTAAATGTAAAACACGGTACATGGAAAAAACAAAACACAATATGTCAGCTTGAGGACAGTGTGGGCAATGTCAGGGTGGACATTTTGGGGAAAAACTGATATAATGAGCACATATGATGGATATTCACTTAGCAGCATGATTAAATTCGCAAGATGACAGTACAGGAAAAAAAGTACACCAACTACAGGATAAAAAATATGAATCACAAGTACAAATATTTATTTGACAACTATCTACTGTTTCAGCTTCCGGTGAAGAAAGACAACATGCTGGTCATAATGACACTGAAAACATCAGTGGGCCTTTTAAAGGGGAAGGTCCCATATAAAGACAGAGCGGACACATGCAAAAGGCTTGATAGGGTTATGAAAATAGAATATAGATGATGAAAATAACTTTTTATCAAATACTAAAATATACATGATGTATTTAGTTTTGCTTATAAAATAATTTTCAGTTCAATCAAGCCAGGCAATAAAATAAACAAATAAAAATTGAATGAGTCAGTATCATTTAAGCACTTACTACATACGGTAGTCAGCAGAGCAAGGTGTGGGACATGCCAAATTCATTTAGTGCCCTTCCAATGAGGAGAGAAAAAAGTACATTTTTATTGTACTGGTTTTTATGCAAATGTATGGCCACTCCTAGTAATACTTCTGAGTTTTCATAACTCTGCCACATTTTCATGATAACGAATGGGTCTGATCAGGATACTAAAGGCAACTTATTGTCAAAATGACCCTTCAATACTACCATTTTCCATGCTTTTTAAAATGTTTATTCTTTTTTACTTAAGAGAAAGCTTGACTGCTCCTGGTCCCAACAGTACAAGCTCGTTTGTACACCGTAATAATGTCATTGTCTTACATTGCTGATGCTCGGATGGCCTCATTAATCTTTACTAATGTAACACGTGATGGCAACAGAACTCCGAAGTCTACAGAAACATGTTGTCTGACAGTTTAAAGCAAGTGCAACCAAAACAATTGGGAACGACTTCATGAAGCAACAAGATAAGACTCATGACCTCAACTCAACTCAACTGTATTTACAGAGCACTTTAAAACAACCATCGCTGTATACAAAGTACTGTACATGGAGCAAATATCATATGTACAACAATAAACAATAAAACAATAATTAATCACAGAGAGTAGAAAGCACAAAAACAGTAAAACTAAAAATCTCATCATATCGTCATGTGGAAGGCTTTAGACCAGTGGTCACCAATTCTGAAAAGTCTTGGGGGACGGAATAATATGAAGTGCTACTAGTTTGATTCACACTCCTGAAATAACAAATTTACTTAACCCTGTAACCTGATAACATGATAAGCTGTCCACTGTAGTAACCGCTGTCCCTGAAAGCGTTAAATTACCCTTGATTTCCATCAAATCTCTCTCACCCAAGGACAAGAACATTCTTAACATACTTTAAATGTAAAGATTCGCCTGGATTGTCACTACCACAGCTCTTGAGCGCTAGTCCATCTTTAATTCCGTTGACACTTTTATCAAATGACCAAATGACGGTGATGCTCCGAGAACGCCCTTTTCACAGTAGTTCTTTCTCAAAATTATTTGAAGACCGAGATACGTTTTACATGTCCTTGTGAGGACTGCTTGGACTCATTTTATTCTCTCTGTATCTGAAGTAACAATATAGGTTCCTCAACGATAGGACCGGTGGAATGGGTGGAACTGTTCATTCCCAAAAAAAAAAAAAAAAAAATGTAAGTAGAAAAATCGGTAAGAAAGGCAACACTAGATTCATGTTTAAAATAGGAGCGTTTAATCATGAAGTAGCAATACATACAATTGTTTCAAGTAATCAAGATAAAATGTGATAAAAGGAAAATTAAATGACAACTGAAGAGTATCCTTTTTGGATTAAAATAATGCTACTCACTTCAAGCCAAAGTTAGACTCCCTCAAAAGGGTTAATCCACAAAAATCCAGATGAAAAGGGTTACAATCCTCAAATATCCTCAAAGGTGGTCCTTTTTTGGGTTAATAGACGAGTGGTCAGTTTGCCTCAGTCCACGACAATCTAATTCTCGTACAATGGTTTGGAATGAGGATCAATAGGCTGCTGACTTGGCCCTCTCTTTTTTTTTAACCTGTCGATATTGACAAACGTCTGAGTGAATGCAATAGATGACAAAAATATTTCCATCTCCCTTGCATCTTGCACGAAATGCAAGAAGGAATCAGGCATCTTCTGTCAAAGCAGTTGCACAACCTGCTCGATCTTGGAAGGAGTGCACAAGAGCAAAAAAGCCCAAGCGCAAAAGAGCCCCAAATGATCGAAGCACATGCATTTATAACTTTTCAGTGGAACTTTCCAGAGAAGGCCAGTAAAAATTATGTAGTTCATGTAGTTCCTCTTAATATGCGGAACTTGAACGAGCCATCTTCTTCTTTCTTTCTTTTCTCTTTCCTGTCAGCTTTTACATGTTTTACTGACGTTTCCATTTAATGCCTTCTAACCAATACAACACATCTTTTAGCAAACACATTATTACATTCATCTCTTATGCAATAATGGGTCCTAACATTTGTAAATGCTAAAAAAAAATCAGATTACTCATAATACTTTTTCATTTTATTCTAATAATAATAATATAGTATTACTCCCCATTGAGGAATGGATCACAACAAGCGCTGCTGGGTTTTATTTGTTGAATGGCAGTCGACCAATTGAGGGTGTACCCTTCCTCTCGCCCATTGTCTGTCACGATGAGGGAGGCACGGAGGAGCAGAGTGTACTTGACAAATGCATTGATAAAAACACAGAAAACTAAATCCAAAACAAAGAAAGTCATAAGAACAAAAAGATTCCAAAGTATGAAACAAAAATCATGACTAAAGCAAACAACTAACCGTAACAGAACCATGACAGAAACAAACATGCCAGAAGAAACAAACAATGAGCGGACACTGAGTGGTCGGGCCGGGCGTCCTTTTATACAACTAATGACGTAATGACCTATAGTGCCACCTGTTGGTCGCAAACAGAACCATGACATAGTCAGCTGGGTGAGGATCCAGCTCATCCGCAATGGTAGTAAACATAAACAGTACAGAAAATGGATTGGGAGGAGATTACAGAGCGATTCAGTTATGTGACGACGGCTGAGTTGATATGAGATAAATAGTGTGCACTTATTAGTAGTATTCTCTTCTCTTTCAACATCTGATAATTTTGATCTCCATAAGAAAATAGGTTATAAAAAGAAGGTAAATATATATTCATATCATCACCCAACTATGACAATGTTTGATAGAATTGTTTATTTTTCCCCTGACATTCTCGATTCTCAATGACATTCGTGTCAAAACATTCCACCTAGCTTGACTGTAATGTCTGGACAGAAACAAGAAATGTTCATAATAACCAACAAATACTTACATTTAATACATGTGACTGTTTGTTCCTCCTTAATATTTTGATTAGTATGCAGCTGCTGTGGCTCTTCTGTGTTTTCTATATTTTTTCTGTCATATGGGCTTGATGTCTCACAGTATCTCCTTCTTTTCCTTTCGGCCTTCCCCTCAGGGGTCGCCACAGCGAATCAGTTGCCTCCATCTCACCCTGTTTTGTGCATCCTCTTCTCTCACACCAGCTACCTTCATGTCCTCATTCTCTACATCCATAAACCTCCTCTTCCTTCTTCCTCTCGGCCTCCTGCCTGGCAGTTCAAGACTCAGTATCCTTCCCCCAATGTATTCACCCTCTCTCCTCTGGACATGTCCAAACCATTTCAGTCTGGCCTCTCTGACTTTCTCTCCAAAATCTCTAACATGAGTTGTCCCTCTGATGTACTCATTCCTGATCCGATCCAACCTGGTCACTCCCAAAGAGAACCTCAACACCTTCATCTCTGCTACCTCCAGCTCTCCCTCCTGTCTTTTCTTCAGTTGCACTGTCTCCAGTCCAAACAGCATGGCTGGTCTCACCGCACGGAGTTTTATACACCTTCCCTTTCATATTAGCTGGAACTCTTCTATCGCACATCACACATGACACTTATCTCTAGCCGTTCCAGCCTGCTTGTACACGCTTCTTCACCTCTTTTCCACACTCTCCATTGCTCTGGACAGTCGACCCCAAGTACCTAACATCCTCCACCTTTTTTATGTCTTCTCCCTGTAAACTCACTCTCGTACTTGGGTCCTTCATTCCTCTCCT